AGAGGATTCCCCGACGACTAGGGTTGCTCCACGAGAAAGGGAGAGATAAAAAAAAAAAAAAAAAGTGCACCCTCCCCCCTTTCCGAACTAAACAAGAATTTAGATTAAAATTCAGAAACGTGCGTCGCCGAGAGGGAGATGCGAACGCCGGGGAATGAATGGATGCTCCAGGTGTATTATACTGTCGTGTGCGGGCGCACACAACGACACCATCGGCATCCGCGTTGCGGAACGTGATTCCGCCCGACGACATAATTTTGCGATGTGCACCGCCGGATATTTACGAGCAACGTTCTCCTCGTTCTATCGCGATCAAAGAATCGTCTTTAAACGTCGCACGACCACGCGTCTGCGAACGGCGCCATGAATGCGCACGTTTTATCCATTTAAAGGTTTACCCGCGCGATTGTACTCAGGAATTGTGGCAGACCCTCGCGCGTTCGTGTATCTCCGATTCTCACGAGAGATATTCGCGTTTCGAATAAGTAAAACGTTAAAAAAAACTCGAATATAAACTTCTTCTCATTTTTTCTCCGTTTTGCAAACTCCGTTTAATGTTAAAATCCAGATCATCCAGTTTCAACGGACATTATCAATAATAAAAAAAACAACTGAGATCTAACTTTAACTGTTATTTCACCTTCTGTCACGTGTATTGAAAATAATGAGCAAACTCGGATTGTGAGAGCAACGACATCGAACTATCGCAAACGCAATGAATTAAACAAATAACTAGTCGCGCAGATATGAAAAAAAAAACGAAAAAAAACACCCACAAGAACGCTTTTATCGGCTAATTCATCGATCATCATCATCTTGTCGATTATTGCAATATGTTGCTCCGGATATTTACTCGAACAACGCGAAAAAAAAAAAATACGATTAATGGCGATCGCGTGTGCGCTAGTTAGCGCAATGCACTCTGATCATACGTTGTTTTTGCGTATCTTGTTACGTACGCAAACATGCACTTTATAATAAATTTAAATTACAGTTCTTTCAAAAAATTAATTCGAGAGAACGCTGGATGTTTTACTTCTGCTGTGTGCTCGCAAGTGTTGTACACACATACAACGTGCAATAAGTTGTATTATATAAAAATATAGCGCTAAGTTAATATTGAAACAAAATTGAAATATATTGGAGAATATCGGTTTTTACGTACCTTCGTACGTACGCATGCACTTTACAATAAATTTAAATTACAGTTCTTTCGGAAAAATTAATTCAAGAGAGAACGCTGAATGTGTGTTACTTTCTGCTATATACGCTCGCTCTTGCACGTACATGTGTACGTACCGTGCAATAAGTTGTATTTTATAAAAATTCGCGCTAAGTTAATATTGAAATTGAAACAAAATTGAAACATATTGGAGAATATCGGAAGATCGAAGTTTTTACCGTTATACGTTTTCATTTTCGACAGTTGTAATTTTTATTTAATATACAATGAAAGTCATATATCATACCGTGTGAATTTGCGTTAAATAATCAAGAGACAGTTGAGAGAGAGAAAAAGAGAGAGAGAGATGTGATGTGATGATACATACATCGGAAACTCGAAATTGTATCTCGTAAGTTCACTCGACCGTGTTCACTCGCACATGCGGAAGAACTAATATAAAAGAAATAATATAAAAAAAAAAAAAAATACCATGTTCCGACAAATGCAATAATAAACTCGATAGGTCAAAGGATGCAATTAATCGAGAGTTACGATTCCGCTCTAGCGACAATTGGCTATCGCGCAATTCTCGTCATCTCGTGTTATACGCGTCTTGAGTGTCGCATGCGCGCGCTATTATTCTCAATGAAAAACAATGTGCGGAAAAATACAGCGATACGTCCGTACGATGTCAAGGTGTCGGCGAGATAAGCGCGCGACTCTGCGTGAGTGAAAAAAAAAAAAAAGAAAAAAAATAACGCACGTTTGCTACATACGCGTCCCGGTCGACGCGTTCGCAGTCGGTATCAAAATAAAACTATTACTACTGCGACGTAGTCGAACCTACCGATAAATCTGACGTGTTTCTTTTTTTTTCTAATTTCCAAATTAGCGGCCACGGGAAAAGAAAAATACGAATTCGCTGCACGCGAGTATATATTATTACAATACAATAATTGTTTATAAATAATTAATAAGCGTAATTATATCAGTAATAGCAAATTACTTTTCGGACGGAATTTGACGCGTAAATTTTTATACACGCGCACGGATAAAAATTCACGTCAGGATCTTTGTAATTTTAACAACAGCCGTGTTTTAATTTCCATAAAATGTATTCGCACATGATTAAATCGCGCGCGCGCGCGCGCGCACACACGTACACACATCAAAATAGCTCGCAGCAAATTTATACATAGATAATATTTTTTAAATAAATCTCAACCTAATTTAGTAACAAAATGCAAGCATTTTAATGCATACAGATGCGAACAATGTTACAATGATTAATTATACGTGTGTTTGCGTACATATACATATAAAGTATGTACACATGTATCATTTTTTATACTTTAATACAGTCGAGATTATCCAAAGCTTTAACATCTGTACGTGCGCAAAGTAACAATTTTGTCTTATTCAGTTGTTTCAAAACCATCAAATAAAAACGCGATACGTCAAATTTTCGCTGCGATACTCCGTTTGCGAATATAAAAACACCAAGACTCGACAACACACATCGAATTATCGCCGTACTATTGTATCATCACAAGTCACATCATTTATCCGCAAATTTACAAATATTTTTTATACATTTTAAAAGACGCGTGTTGCGATGCCTTTTACGACCGATGCGTGTTTTCATTGTCCCCCGTAAAACTTCAAAAACTCATTGTCAATATCGATCGCGAGAGATTATGCCCGAATTGTAAAAGCGCAAAAAAGAAAAAAAGAAAAAAAAATTACGCGCGCGGAACGATTCCCGTGATGACGGACATTTCGCGCAATTGTCTGGAACACAACGACTGGTATTTCTAACCCTTTCTGTTGCGGAGTACTCGAAAATTCCGCAGACCCATCCGCAAAATGCACCGTTTGCGAGAAAGGTTTCCGTGATGAAAAGCTCGCCGGTGTGCCGCGCGCGCGTTTATATCGTGTTTGTTTCGCCGCCGAAGGGTAATGAACCCCCGACCCTGACGGCGGCCGGCGGTGTTTGCTCGCGATGCGAGGGAGCGAAAAAGCGCCGCGGCGAGATTCCGCCGTCGGCAAGGCGTGCCGTGCGCGATAGCAAGAAAGTACTACAACACAGAGTTCGATGTACTCACCGCAATGCAGTGACCTCCGTCGCGGTCAGGCTGCTCGCTGGTACGTCGGGATCTCTTCTTTCGACGTCGACGACGCGGCTCTCGGTAAACAGGGGTTGTACAAGAGGGCTGCCGCCGCTGCTGCTGCTGCTGCTGCTGCTACTACCCCGCTGGCGGTGGTGGTGGTAGTGGTGGTGGTGGTGCTGCTGCTGCTGCTGCTGCTGCTGCCGCTGCCCGTGACAGAGACCACCGCATAACCAGAGAAACAGTCACGTTTCCATCGGCGTAACGGTATACGTTTTGCCGTGGAAAAGTCACTTACATTCACCGCACCACACGTACGCGTCAACGTCGGGCGTCGAGCTGCGCGGATTCGGCGCGACCGCGCGCGATCAGAACCCGAGAAATGCGGAAGCGGAAAGTTTTTTTCGGACTCGACGCGAGCCGCCGAATCGATGTGTGATGTTACACTTCCCAACTGTCTTTTTTGATTCTGCAGATGTGCGCGCGACCAACGCCATCTCGCGTCGCCTCGACGTACTCGGTGGCGCCGGCGCTCGGCGGGATATTTGAACGCGGTTCGAGAAACGGCACCCTTATTCCGCCCAGTGACTTTTCTTTAAAATCTGCTAATTACTTAAAATTATCTCGAATTATTCGAGATGTAGATTTTGTTTTTTTGAGAATAAAAGGAGAGATCTAGAATTCATGAGTTTTAAGAAAAATTATTTACATTTTCTAACAAATGGAGAACTTGGCTAGTCCGCTGACTTTTGTAAATAAATAAAAAATATATAAAAGTACACACTATGAAGCATAGAATATTTTCAAATATATCTCGCGCATATTTATGGTGAAAATAAGAAATTACGTAGAAGGTGCAACTTTTTATATAATTTATTTATGTATATATAGCTTAGTTTTTCCATATTATATATAAGAACATAATTTTTCTTATAATATTAATTTCATATATATAATATTACTGTTTAAAATTCATGATTGACAACTCCACCGTATCTCGTTAGTAATTAATAATAATCTTAACACAAGAGCACATAGCGTATATGATAAAGCATATCTTTTCTCGTACTCCTTGTTGCAACTGCGAATATAAAAGCGTCTTTTTTTTTTGTATATAATAATATATTACACTATATATGTGTATATATATATATATCTTTTCTTCGTATTTACATTCAAATTAATACAATATAACGTAATTAAGTCACGCATTTCATTCAGTTCGTGCACGTAAGTATTATATAAATAAAAATGTGTGTCCCCCACATTGAGCTAGCCTAAAAAAATATTAAGTCTCCTCCCACTTTCGTAGTTTAAATAACACATTTCGGTAGTGAAAATTGACGTAAATGAAGACACGTTGGGTGTACACAGACAAAACTAGTTTACCCGACACAGTAATCAACGTATTAGCTCAACGTACGTATCGGTAAATAATAAATTGCGCAAACATTAAGTAGATACGTATTATAATGCGTGATATAATTATCGTAAGGCATTAAGTTTAACGCGCTAAAGATATTTCATATAGAAATCAAGCATAAATGCCAATATCTTCAAATACGTACATCTAATAAGTGTACCTACATTTAAAGTTTTATATATATATATATATGTATATATGTATATCGATTTACATGTAAATACAATTTTAACTGGGTTTATGAGAATGTCTGTGAAAACGTATTTAAACGATACAGAACATCATATAACTGTTCAACTCATTATACATGTAAACATGGTTATATTGCTGTATAGTAAAAAAAAGTTTATTTTTTTTATACTTGTAGAACTTTTCTGTAAAACAATGTAATACATTAAATTGTTATCCGCACGTATATATATTTAATTGTGTACAAATATTCATGAATATCTCGCACTATTATCAATTGCACTGTGACAATATTCCATAAGTCAATTGTTTTTTTTATTTATTATAACTTTATTCTCTATTTGTAAATCATGAATTTGATTTGACGTACGTTAACGGTAATAAACATGTAAAATTACGCATAAAATTTAAACACATAAAATTAATTGAAAAAATAGAAATCAAAAAAACGCTCTAGTTACGAGGGAAAGAATTTCTGAAAGACCACTTCTAGAACGCGCCACACCGTGTATGTGTGTGTGTGTGTTACACGCATAAATTTTCCTTCATACATCCAATTTTTATTCTGTAAGTTTATAAAAACTGGATCGCAAATATTGAATACTTGAATTTTGCTTCAACTTGCATCTCGTAACGTGTATTACGCTGAACTAAGTTTCCAAGCTATAGAAGAAGTACTGATATTAAATGTAAGCTTATACATATTACACCTAACCAGAATTTAAGGCCACAAAACTTCTGCCATAACAACGTTGTGTATCACCTACTGGGACGTATCTGTCTAAAATAAAACCAACTGTACAAATAGGATGGAATGTTTATATCAATTCTGTATCCTTAAAAACGCATGTCAATAATTCCATGATAATCATGTTACGATACAAGATACATTCGTGTGTTCAACGTCACTCATATCGTTGGTTAACAAGTAGCAATGATTATATTATTTTTCGAGACTCTAATGCTATCGCAGAAAAATACTGACAAAATGATGATGATGATTATTATTATTATTATCAGAAATAATATCAGTTTCCTGGGAACACTTTTTAATCAACTTGTTTTTCATATTTGATATACTGAACTTGTATACAATTATTCTACCTGAGCATAACATATATTTTTAAATCATTATTAAATTAGAAGAATAAGCAAGGAGATAATTTAACTTGTAACCAATTAATTTAATTCGTTGGTTTATCAATATATTCATTTCAAGTGGTTTTGTTAACAACTTGACTAGTGAACTTAAAATCCTGCATTTGTTTACCTCGTATATTAATATGATAAAACGTGGATTATTTGTCTACAATTATATTTAATACAAAATCTATCTTAGTATGAACAAAACAAGAGTGATCTAAATAAGAACAAACAAATCGGTATGATTTGCTCTTATTTAGATCGTTTTAAAGCTTTTTCTCTCTTTACACACAGAAGAAGAGAAGAGAGAAAGAGAGAGAGAGAGAGAGAAAGAGAGAGAGAGAGAGAGTGAGAGAGTAGGTTTTTATTTTATTCTTAATTTTCTATTGTTTCTTGCCTTTTCTTCTAATATCATAACAAAACCTCGATTTTATATTCTTCTTCCTTGTATATTATAGAAATATAACTCTCGAACAAAACACAATCTCTATACGCGTTTAATTCGTACAATTTAATAATCATAAAAGCTTAATAAAAACAAAACAACAACCAGGAAACAACATACAGAGCGAAGTGAATTTAAAGATATGTGCATGTAAAATATGTGACAAATATTCTGTTTGTTCAGACAAAAGATACATAAGTTTTGCACAAATATTATAAGTGAAAAAGAAAAACGTTTGTACGTAATGTTAAATTTGATAAGAAGAATAGAATTTTTTTGTGTAATGCCGTAAAAAGTCATAATATCGAAAACTTTTATTTGCAATTATAAAGCATATTCAACACTTTATCACATATGTAAACAATAAAAAAAATATGATAACTTTATGCACTATTTTCATAAAACAATTGAAGTTTTTTTTATCACTTCTCGTAGTATTCACGTAATATAAGTTTAAAACCGAATAAACGGTACTTAAAAAAAAATCGCACAAAATAGTTTCTAACCAAAAGTCGTTCTTTGAAAAACAATTGTTTTTCTTTTCGCACAATTATAATACAATAGTAAGAAATATACGTCCTTCAAAAGTTCACTATGTACAACCATATTTCTGCGATTTATATTCCTTATTTAAATGTGAATATTATTCCAACAATAAGAATCAATAAATCACAATTATAAATCGATAGTATAACGTTATAATGTTATAACAGTCGAGTCAAGAAGAACTACTTCTCTCAAGGAAATTTCAAATTTGCAAAACTACGAGATGTATTATATTAAAGTAGGGCTCCAAGATCGGTTCGAATCTAACGCTATCAGAGAGTTTCTGAATATCTGAATAGCGGATAATTGCGACGTTACAAAATATTCGAATTATTCGTTCAAACAACAGAATGTTGAATCCACATCGCAAAAATTATGTCAAAATTCTAGCCACAAGACGTGTTGTTTATCTCATAAATATCAGAGATAATAAACGTCTCGATGACAACAAAAAGTAAACAAATTGCTAATTCAACATATTTGGATTGGATCCCAAGATGTGTGCGAGAAACTTGGATTTTTGTGATAATATTTTTTAACATTATCTTGGAAGCCCTAGTTTAATAACGAATTAGTTAATATCTATTATCTAATCGCAAGTTATAGTGACATTTTAATGTTATACAGATATTTTTCTCATTTTAATTTATTTTGTAAAGGTGTATATATATATATAGCGTGCTGAAAGACACAAAACTTACTCAAGTTACTTAAGAAAAATTAAACAATTAGTTTAACTTTTAACATATTGTTTCCAAGTTGCTTGATTTCATGTTACCACTCGTGATTAAATAAGAGACAACTGAAGCATTAAAGTGTAGAACATTTTTAAATGTTCATACATAAATTTGTTGATATATAATTTTTCCTCATATCTTCTATGGGTATATGCATGTAATATATACAATATATTACAAATATCATATCATATATGCTATATATATGTGTGTGTAAATAAACACAGGGTGTCTACTTAATCCTTAGAAAAAAGTTCCCAGAGAATTTCTTTTGATTATTCTCTTCGTTCAAGAGGTTTCCCGCTTTAGGCGAAATTGGAGCATATAAATATGCAGATTTAAAATATGCGCTATTTATTGTTTCTTATAATATATCAAGTCTCGTATATATTTGCATTCGCGTGAACACGAAAAAGAAAGGTTAAAAGCCTTGATCAAGCTTCCAAGTGTTAAATGTGAAAAACATAAGAAGAAAACTTAACTCAATTTATTTCTTGCTATTTAACGATGACAACCTTGAAAAGACAAATGTATTAAAAATTTCTTGAGTCCTGATAAAATTCCCTGGGAATTTCCGGTTTTTCCAGGAAGTAGACGCGATAAAGATATTTCGTGCTAATCGACTCCAGCAAAGCCCTGAGAACCTTCAATCGCTTTAATTAACTTATCCCTGAGTTGTTGATAACTTTTATACGGAGGAAGGTCAATACGATTAAAGCTGAAATAATGTATGTATTATTATTATATGCGAGAAATTATTTTCTAGAAAAAGAGATAATTAGACAAAAATATACATGTGTTATGTAAGAAACTTTTAATGAAAAAATGTTCTAGTTGTGAAGACTTACCAAGTATGAGCTCTTGGATAATTCTCTGGTGTACCCCACCTTTCAATTGTGAATAATTGCGGTCCGTTACTCCCGTAGAGTTCTTTGAATCCGTTCATTGGGACACGTGATGTGCCAGTCACAAACTGTAATAATCTAGAACGCATTTCGTTGCTGAATGAAAGAACAACTCTCCAGAACCATTGCACGACAATGTGGTTTGCATGATAGTCCCCTTTATACAAGGTATTTTGTTTCCAGTCTTTCACGTCAATATGCTGTATACCACACATCAATAACTCGAGTTCGTGTTCATCGAATATCTTCACCAATGTCGGTGGTATAAGAGCATTGAATCCCTCCAAGAAGGCGTTCATCTGTTCCTGCACTCGAGATACAAACCGCCATTGAATAACCAGACTTATATATTCATCCTTATTTTCGTCAGTTAAAGGAATATTAGCACCATCTGGCTTTAATTCTCTTTGGGACGTATGGCCAAAACTTTCCTCGTCGAGACAGAAAGTAAGTTCTAACTCGCTAGGATCATTTTCCTTGATCCACAGAAGGGAGTTATAGTATTCAGAATCAACGCTCTCCATATCTTTTAGATCAATTGACTTGCCTAACATCATCTTGTAAAACGGTCGGATAAAGAAAGCTAAAATAAAAATGATAAAAATATCACACCAAAAGTTACAAAATATACAAGTGTCGTTACTTGAATAAATTTTTTTTATAAATTAAAAAAACAAATTTAATTACATTTGATATGTATTTTGTTAATATAAAAACTTACCATCCAAAAGTTTACCGTGATAAACAGCCATTCCTGCTATACGTCCAATAAATTTAAAATAGTTCAAATGTTCCTCATTGCATACACCAGAACAAGGATTAATTTGGAGTGTATAATTGTCACTGAAAATGAAAATACAAATGACTATTTTTTTTTAAGTCATAAAATACACAAGTGTGTAAAAAATTAGTAACTTATTTGATTTGTATTAAATTCATTTGTTTCTATCGTTAATTTTTGTTTTTTTGAATATATTATCAACAAATTTTATACTCACGTTGCGGAATACTCGAAAAGTCCGTAATATGGATTGAACATTTCCTTCGATAATAAGAAGAACCATTCTCTGGCAAGACCACCATAATCTAAGCCTACTTCACCCTCGAATTCTACCCACAGTTTCGTTTTTAAAATATCAACTCTGTTAACAGAACTTATAATACGGTACGAATCTTCTAAAATATTGTTCCGTGTTACTTTTATCTCGAACTTATTAGGAACGTTATTCTGCAATAAAATATAAAGACACATATAATCACACTTTTTACATTATATATACTAAAAATTATTTAATGAACAAATTCACGTACAGGCTTTCTTAGTTGCGACTTCAGATATTCATATTTACGCTTATAGTCTCTGGAATATGGTACAGCCTGAAAAATTTAGTTTATGTAACACATTATCACACACTTGTTATATGTAATAATATTAGTATTTCAATAATATACAAAAAGATTTTTATATCAAATATTTATAATCATACCGGGCCAGCAATTTGAGGATTGGACATGCGTGGGTCTTCCCATTGCGTTGTTCTCGTATCTGTAAGTAAAAAAAAGAATATATGAAAGACAAAACAATACACCGCAGATGTATTATCATTTAGTTTCGAGCAATAGATTGCATACTATGATCTATGAAGAAGATTCGTCCATCGGTGTGCACTCTCTCTTCCCATCCTTCCGGAAGCGGTCCTAACTGATCCAAATCGCCTCTTGGCGTTGTCGACGGTGCGACAGGATTTGGCATAGAACTCGGTCTTCCGGTTCTGGGATCGACCCAAGTTGTCGCTCTTTCATTGTGGTTAATAAAAAATACTCTACCATTCGGCGCTACTTGCATACCCCAACCAGGAGGCAATCCTTCGTCACTAGACACGGGTAGAGTTGGTCTAGGACTTTCAGCCTGAAATTTTTGCGATGCAGTGTAAAAGAAAATTTCGAGAGTACATATATATATATATATATATACATATATATATATAACTACATAAATAACTTAATAAACACAATAATAATAATTTTACCTCCGACGATCGTCTCGAATTAGCTGGACTATCAACGTTGTCGTCAACCTGTAAACAATATAAAAATATTTGCATTATAAAAACACAATAACTTCTCTCTATACACGTATAACATTACAAAATGGATATTGTTTTATAATAATAAGCTGTGTGCATTTTATACTCTCAAAAAGTACACATTTAGATGCTTATTGTTATTGTAAAGCGTATTGATTTCTTTTATTTGACTATATTGTACATGGGCTTATGACGAGAATACAACGAGAAAACTTCATGCCAACTTTAAGTACAAAAAAGCTTTACATAAACAATTCTCAATAACATGAATCTTAATTTTAATGCAGTGTATATAATTAACATATTAATATATATAGAATGAATTAAGTGTATATATTGTGATAAACTAAACTTGTGCACTTGTAAATATCTTTATGTTTCTCTTTTACACATTCTTATTATTCAAGTACATATAATTTTTAATTAACAGATAACGAAGCAGATAAAAGTCACAACATATGTGTGTATATAATAGATATATACATATTTTTTGTCTAAGTGTTCTCGATACAGTTTAGCTCTTACAGAAAACTGAATACATATAATATACATATCTCTCATCATCAAAATAATGCACAAAATAAGACAACATATGCTATTTATCATAAGCGTATATGTAATACGAATGTGAATATGTACATAGGTATATGTTAAGCGTTACATTTACCACAACTAAAAGGAAATAAACATAGCTCTGTTTATATTAGTACCTGAGATTCCTCAGATTCGCTAACGTAGCCACGTTGATCAACCGAATGTCCGGAGTCTGAAGAAGTATCCCCAATACCCCCTCCCCTATGTTCCCCACCCTCACAATCTCTTGCTTCCGAATCTTCATCGTCCTCGCGCAGAACCTCACCGTCCTTACACACACATGCACAAAGTTCTACATACTGCATGCTGATTATATATGGATTGTATAGATGTTCGACTCTTAATATGCGTTGAAAATTTTGTTTATACAATAATAAAATTTTATATACAATAATAAAAACAAGTTTTTCTGTCAACATTTTAAGAATTACAATATTTTCTCAATGTTTCACACTCTCAAATTATTGATATTATTACATGTATCTATATATGTAATAAATTTATGTATATATACATTTCTATTTACTACATTGTTTACTAAACACATTCTTACATTCAGAGAAATATGCAATAAAAACATGTGTAAAACAAGTAGCATTCGTAACAAATTTTACATTTATAGTATATAATGTTGATAAACAAATTATAAAGGAAATATTATGTACAATAAAATAATTGTTTGTAAAGTCTATTAAAGTTTAATAGCGTCAATGTGTTATTTTTTTACCAATGCACTACCGATTCAAATGGGGACAATTATATGCTCGTACTTGATAAAGTACATACATATTGTCATATTCACATGACAGTAAAAAATATTCTACGTTGTGTAGATATATATGTATACTATGATATTTTGTGCGTGTGTGCGTACAAATACATATATTTTTTTACATAGAATATTAATGTAATGAACAAAATAGATAATAATGTTTTTTCATATGTATGGAGATTTGAAAGCAGAGAACAATATTATTTATCTAGTTTGTCATTAATTAAAAACAAATTAACAAGAAATATAATTTTGTAGAAACATAAATTAGTTTGCGATTAACCCAATAAATTGGAAATATTTTGAAACGTAAATAGATATTTTATATAACATATTGAAATAAATTTTGAATAATAATGCGTGTAAACTTTACCTACATATTATTCAAAGTAAAGCAAAATGTCAAAAAAGACTTAACGTAAACAATTCAATATTGAGTTTAAGTTTCAAAAAAACGCAAATATCTTTAAATGTTATTATTCAAGATAAATGTATAAGTTTGTGCAGAAATAACAGTTTAAAAAGTTTATAAGAGATACTGTAGCTTACCTGATTTACTACCGAATTTCTATGCCTATTTTCATCATCCGCACTTATATGAAACCGTCGCTGAAACTCAGTAGCTGCTGTATCCAAATTACGTTGTTCACCTACTCCACTCGTTGTTGTTGTATCTCTATATCACAGAGTAAAATAATATTATCTTATAAGCTCAATATATAGTATCTTAAATGTATTATATAAGTTTATCATATAATATTATAATATTATAAACACGAAACAAATGGTATCACGTACGGTTCTGGCCGCTCCCACTGTGTAAAACGGTGTATATGATTAACATAATATGTACGTCCATTTGCATCTTGTCTCTCTTCCCATCCTGGTGGCAATGGCCTATTAACCACAGTAATCTACAAAAATATTTTCAATAATTCTAAACTTCTACACTTTGCTTCATAAAAAATATTTGATTTTCATAATTGAAATCTTATCATAAACATGCACAAAACGTGCCATTTATTAATTTATTGCATACAATCTAATATAAAATTGTTTATCACATACATCTGCAGCTTGTTCCACTGGACTATTATTTTCTGGCTGTACCAATTCCCATCCGCCTGAATCGGATATATCATTGTTGTCGTTTTCGATATTAGGTGAGTCACTCATAAATGCATGATACAATTCCAACGTTCCCTTAACTCGCGATCGCTGACTGGAATGATTACTAGCCATATCCTCATAAGTTATTCATTTTGCATTTGCAAATAAAAAGATACAAAGCAAACAAATTTAAAAATAAAGGAACATTATATCATGTACATATATTAAATATAGAAATTATTGATTATACTCAGTCTTGTATCAGAAATGCAAATTACATTTAGAAATTTAAATCAGAATAAATAATTAGTAAAAGTGTGTAGACAATTTATTACATTCGCTAACTGATTACACAAAAAAATATAAAATATATTAAAAACTTATGTACTGCAACATGATACAAATAACGGAGTATTAACGTGTGCATTAATAATTGTAAACTAAACTAAATGTTGAATATATAGCTTGAAGCAAAATTGTAAAAGATACTTACCTACGTGGACGAAGTACATAATGTCTAGAAGGAATAACACGATGCTCCTGTTCTTTTGGTAGGTTAAGCAGTGTTAATTCCACCATACCAAGAAAATCATCCCTTGTCAATCTATTTTCATCAAAAACCTGTAAGACCAATTTGTGTTCCACTGGTTTAACCTAAAAAAAAAAAAAGCATGATGATAATCAGTAATGTAACATGAAACAAACTATTTGAAAAATGTATTGCACACTTCTCTTGTTTAAGTTAACTAAATTTACCCTGAATATAAATTCTTCCTCCCAAACAGGATTCAGTGTTTTCTTTTTGGTTCTTGTAAGCGCAGAATCCACTGTCTGATCTCCGTTTATTGTATTTAAATCAATCCGCACATAAGGATCGCTTGCACCAAAAATATCTTTCTTAGCTAAATGGTGCCCAGCGATTATCTTTAGTCTCAACTTGCTTGTTGCTTCATCCCTCTAAATAAATTGTTTATATGAATTTATTGATCATATCAGAATAGAATATATTTTTTTTTTTATATAAGTATTTAAGAGTGTTCACATAGCAACCATTAAGCAAACTTTTTGTGCACAGACAATATTTTCTATTGATAAAGGTTATGTAATATATAACCACAAAACAGATAATAATAAAACCGTCAGAATGAACAATATAAAATTTATCATATATAAAATGGAATTTTAGAAAAAAAAAAAAAAAAAACATTCTAAGACTGTTATCACTAGGTTTCAAAAATAATAAACAACAAAACTACAAGTACTAATCTCACTGACAGATAAATAATCAAACAATATATCACTTTGATATCACAATGGAAGACCTTGGAATATTGCACTATTCTACAAAACATGTCACGAGATCGTTGCAACAAATGTCAGAAGATATTCGTTGCGGCAATAATACACACACAAACGTTGAAATGTCAATACAATCAATACGAAAAACGTTGCGGATTAATCATTTACAAGTAACGCAGCTGACAAACTTCCGTAGTCTAAAATACTAACTCTGTCGCAAACAGGCATATTACATTGATGTTTTTCGAGGCGATGCCAACAAATTCACTTGTCACTGATTAAAACGCACGTCGACCTAAATATCGCGTGACTATGCGTCGTTGCGACGTATTCTCTTCTTTTTCGCAAAAAAAATCAAACTTCCCGAAGTACAAGATCCGTTTTATGCGTCTTTATTAGTCACCGAGAGAAAACCCAACCTATACTTGTCAAACTGTCAAAGAGACTACGTACGGACTCGCCATCGTCTCCGGCCGTCGGATTGTAACCGTAAACATTTTCTTCTGCCATTAACGTTAACGTGTGCTCGATTGGTGCCTAATCGCCGATCGCTCCTTGCTATTTAATGAGCTTCACGCAAGTTTCTTATATGCCATCAAGAAACCTATTTTGTGTTAACCCCTTTTTCCGTCACACTATTGCGCGACCGAGACGGATGTGACATGCCCGTTTCCGGGTTCAAAGATGGCCAGCTTCCTTTTAAATATTTAAAAAGTGGCAACTCCGAACGACCGCGCTATATCACAATTTGTTCGCTAATCTAATCGAGTCCGAAACACAAAACTATCGCAAAATTTTTACCGTCGAGACGGTAATTTAAACCTCGAGTAGTGTAACTTGTTCTTTTTCACACGAGAGTACAGTTTTTATTGTTTAAGAAAAAGCGCGATAATGGAGTATAAAATAGTTCGAAATCGATATTATTTATACATGCTTTGTTGATAAAAAAAAAATAAAAAAAACTAATAAGAAATTTGTTTTAAGCAACACTTTCGATTTAACAGCTTTAAATTACCGTTATTTCATTATAAAGTGCGCAAAATCTTGATATTATCTCGAAACACGATAAAACTTTTGATTCCACATTTTTCAAGATCGTCGGATCGTGACTAACACACAATGAAAATGATAATGAAAGAGAGTTATATTACTATCTCGATTTTTTTTTCATGCAAAAAACGACGATATGTTTCTTAAAATATCAAACATTCGACAGCACGTTATCTAAAGATTAGGAAACCCGTCGAATGCTTCAGCTATTTTCCATTATTACATCAAGTACGCGTAAAAATTGTCACGTTTTGCGTACATATTCTTCTTCGCTATTATCTGAAATATATTTTAATTTTTAGGATTAACATCTTACAGCGGGTTCCGATAAGGATAATCGTCCAAATTGCGCATCCATTTCCGCCACACGTGATGCAGAATAATGTTGAGCATTCCAGGTGTAAGCGCGTCTTCGAAGAGGTGGTGGTTCGACACCAGCGTAGATTGGATATGTCAAAGTTCCTGGCATTTTTGTTTTTTTTTTCTTTTTTTTTTTGTTCTTTTTCAATATCTCTTTTCACTGATACTATTACTGAGAGATTAGATTTATCGACGCACTCTCTCTCTGTATATTATAGCTTTTCAGTTTTAATACGTTTTTAATTTTTTGTTTTTAAAATTTATTTTAAAAACTTCTGGTTTTTATATTGTTTCGCATGCGTTTTTTCTGCGCTTGCACGCAAATATTATAAATTAGTATTTCAAAGCTTGTTTTCTTTTCTAGAGCATGATCTTTACGGAGATATATTTTCACCTCCTATTTATTACATACGTGCCACTATAAGCGTTTCTCTTCACGTTAGTTTCACGTATGTATGTAAATCTTATAAACAAGATATTTGCGTTTGAGTATAGTAAAGATTAACAAAACTCGGTTGCTTGTACAGAATGTTCCCCAAAAACTTGTCCATACACATTTTACTTGCTTTGTAACGTATTCAGTATGCGGTGTGCTTGTACACTCCTATTCTTCACTCTAACAATTATTAAAGTAAACTCACAGAATTTAAATAACAATATAATTTAAAAAATTCGCTAACAACCACTGTGTGTGGTTTTTTGAAACAGCCTGTATATGCACACAAATAGAAAGAAAGACAAAGAAATAGAAAGAGAGAGAGAGAGAGAGAGAGAGAGAGAGAGAGAGAGAGTGAATGAGAGAGAGAAAGAGAGAGAATGAGAAAAAGATAGAGGGAGAGAGAAAAAGAATACTCATTAAAAAAAGTCGAAATAAAACCTCCGTATAATCGCTGAGTGCGACTTGCTACTCGAAAATTCACACTTTTATGCCACTATTTAAAAAGTCACATTGCAGCATCGATCTTTACGTCACGCGCAAATAAATATAATATATCACAATTTTTTCTGTGGAGAAAAAACTCATCGATATATCGTTCGTGTTGTTCATAGGACTCGCACTCGATAACTAAAACGGAGAGAGAAACTGAAGGTTCAGATAAGACAATTCTTGTATATCATGGTCGTGTGATAATGAATACACCACGTACAGTAAGAATTGATTTTTACGCTGAACGCAGCGATAATGATATGCGTGTGTGTACAAATATATGAGTACATATTATTGTATGTGTGCACACAGGTATGTAATCAAGCGTTGCGTTCTCCACTATTTGTTTATTTAACCTTTTCAAATACGCACGAAAAGCTTGATGACTATTTAACAAATCGAAATATTCATCAGCTTGCGATAGTTATCTTTTTTTTTTTTATATATATTCTATTCGCGAATCACGACATTTTATATATTCTGACATATTTTTTCCACTTTATTTCAACCTTATATCAACTTGTTTCAATCACACACATACGCATATACGTATAAAAATCTTAATATAATACAAGATACAAATACAGATGTAATATGTATAAATGTATACATAATAATGTGTTTTACGTGTGAAAAAAAAAGCGAAATAGGACTTTGTGACGGATTTGTACATTTATTTTCAATCGATAGGTACGTACGGATTGAATTGCTTTCGGAGCGATTAATGACGCGAATTTGACAAATTGACCAATCACATTAGACCTGTTCAGCAGGTACAGTTGTTGTCTTGTCAGCACTAGACGTTGATTTATTTGTTCTCAAAGTAAGAGCAGCTTTGCTGAACGCAGCCAATTACAGTTTTAGTGCAGCACTTTCGTGCGGTTTTCAGTGCAGAGAAAACACAGAACACACCTGCCGGTGCAAAAAATCTATAGTTAATGTTACATGTAGGCACTATAGATTTCGATAATGACATCAAATATTCGAAGTAGATTTATATAACTTTCATGAGGCATATAAACACAGATCGTCTCTTGCTCTTAACAAATCGTGTATGACTTGATAGGTAAGCTCAGTGTCATGGAAAATTCTAGTGTAATGTCTGTATCGCTGTTAAAAAAGTGATCTCGCGATTATATTAATATAGATCACTGTACACTCAAAAACGTGTGTGTCGAGTTACCGTAAACTAGTAAACTAGGATCGCGAATATGGGCTCCGGTCAGAGTTCCCGCAAGTTGACCATCTCGAATGAAGAAGGAGTTGGAGTGATCAAGCTGTCCAACTCGATTATAGAGCGTCTTGCTCAAGCGGAAACATCGTCAGCATCCACCTCGGACGTAAAACCTGACGTATCGAACCAACAAGCACCACCACCTCCTGGTGTCGCGACAGCCCCACACCAGACTGCTGTTACCGCGCCTGGACAGCCGGTATACTATTATCCTGAATTAACGGTATCTGCTCTTAAAATGCAGCAACAAATGGAAAAAGAACTGAAACAACAAGATCAGTACTGGCAGAGACGTTTGCAGAAATTAGAGAGTGGTTATCAGAAGTTGAATGCTATCTTGGAAGATGAATATAAAAAAGCTGCTAGTGAAACTTCTGACACCAAAAATAGTAAGCTCAAATATTTTTTTTCAAATTTTTTGACAATATTTTATACATTATATTCATTGAGTGAAGTTTGTACTATGTGTTACAGACACAATTTTACTGATATTTGTGTTTTTGCCATTATCATTTGTGATATTTGAGCATCCTTTTTGTGATAATATATTTTTGATTCAAGTAAAACAAAAAGATTAGATTAACATTTTTTATACAGTAAAATTTAGTTAGTTTTATTTGAACAAACTTGTATATATGTTTGAAATTTCTACTGTTGCAGGACAAGTAATCAGTGACATTCAAGGTGCTGTGCAACCGTGCATTGAGAATAGTGATAAAATCCTCAAGTGCTTACAGGATCATCCTAAAGAAACTCTTAAATGTTCAAACTTGGTAGAAGAATTTTCAAACTGTATCTGGAATGTACAGTATACATATATGATCAAAGTGTAATGTATTCTCCTTGTATATTTTATAATAGCTTACAGTAATCTTAAAAAAAATAGTGAAGAGTAATAAATTATATAAGATTTGAAAGGCTTGTTTTAATTTCAACAAACAACTGCTGGCAAAAAAATAGTGTATATAAAATAAAAAACATTAAAAAATATAAAACAGTAAATATTTTGAAATATGTATATATATATACATATATATATTGCAATTATGATAATAAACCATACCTCTTACATATGAGAGATGTGATTATATCATTTAACACAAACAACCACCTTTATAAATATTTTTATAAATTTATCTAGAGAACAATAAAATAAACAACTTCAATAGCAAATCCAATATATATTCGTTAAAATACAAAGTTTATAATTTATATAAGAAAATACAAGAACTTATTAGATAAAAAGCAAGTTAAACAAGTGATTTTTGGTTTAATTGAAAGGACTTTTAGTACAATTTTTGTTTAAAGCAATATGTATACATAATTTATATATTTTGGGGTTTACGCGACTCAAAGATCTATAACATGTATATCTTACAATTTTATCAAGATTGAATATAAAACATTTGCTGCAAATGCGAGAATGGAAGTATATTTGAAACACTGTCTATGGTGTATATAAGATACTGCTACTTGTATATACTAACAATACTTTGCCAAAATATATTGTATATACACAGTACACTGAGATTGGTAGTGAATTTCGTTTTGCGAAAAGAAAAATCAAAATTTCTACACACTATCTTTCAGGCTTTATTCATGCTTTTGTAGGTCGGCTGCGTTATAAGAAACTGTTTTCTACTCTCGGAACAATTCACAGTGCCAATCAGTGTACTTGGTAACAAATTTAACTTTTGTAACACGAAAATTATTACATTTGCAAAAAACAGATTTAAACTTTTCAATTTTTCATAACTTCAATTAATTATCAAAGTGATTACACCGAATAAGTGTTTAATTACAACCTTTAATTATTATTTTATAAAGTAACTTACACGGAACGTAAATATCACAAATTAAAAACCAGTTACGGAGAGGCCTTGTGCCCAAGTAAAGTACACAAGAATCGGAAAGGAAATATATAATGTATGTTACGAAACACATTACAATATAATATAGGTGTAAGTACCTATATAAATGTTTAAGTGAAAAATACGTTTCCAAAAATTACCTCAATGTATTCCACTTAAAGTATGTGTGTAATGCAAAACCCACTACAATAAAACACACTTTTGGATTTTATCTTATTTATGAGGAAAATAATCAAAAAAAAAAAAAAAAAAAATAATGATAATAATGAAAAAAAGAAAAACAATTCTAATCGCTTTTCTTATCCCCACTCGACTGCTGAAGTTTTGAGAATTCGTTGCTCAAACGATCATATTCTTTCGTAAGTGAATCTGCTTGCGATTTTAGTGCTTCTTTATCCTTTTTCTCTTTAGTCAAACTGTTCTCAAGTTCGACATTCTTGGCTTGCAACTCCTTGATTTGATTTTTCAATTCTGAAACAGCCTTATCATGCGCTTCGTTAGAATCATTTTGCGCGCTTTCTCCAATTGTCCTCTGGGACAACAAACTTCTAGCTGTGGTTGTAGCGGACATAGCCTGTCGCATGGCTGCTTCGTTTTGCGCTAACAAAGTGGCTTGTGTAGATATTAAAATAACAAGACGGCGTATCACCAAACTTAAAAATAGTGCAAAACTGGATATGTAGAAATTCCTCTGTGCGCGAAACAGTCGCATGTGTTCTAAGAAAAAAAAGTCACTGATATAGATATATAAAAATTACAATCATTAGTATATAAAACCACTCATTTATGTGTGTAAATATAAAATATTTATACGCGAGAACACATGTGAAATACCAAAATAACTTTTTTCTTCAAAGTTGTACAACAATTTACCTTGCATTTCAAGATTTAAATGCTGATGATCACCGTGATCTAAACTCCCAGAATACTTTCGCATCTCTCGTATAGCATCTAATAGGAAAAGAAACAAGATCCCAAGTAAAACCACAAAATAAATGGAAGCTTGATTACCGATGCTTTGTAAGAAGCGAGACTTGAAGAGCTTTTGCCATTTAATTGGCGAAGCAATTGGCAATATAAGAAGAAGGACTACTGCGACTTCTACATAGAGAAATCCAGCAATGAGCGTCCATTGTATACTCATGTTTATTTAAGTTTGGTTAGCCTTTTTTATGTATCTGAAATGATAACAAGAAATAGAACTTTACACAATGTTTTGAAAAATTTCTAAAAAATTTGTATTTTTGTCAATGTATTTATTTTTCTAGATCTTATATTAATTTTTCTCAATTTATCAGAAACTTTTAGACACAGTCTATAATTCTGATATATGTCAGTAAAATGCTTTTTAATAACAAGATATGGTAATGATACATCAAAACATCCAGTATAAAAGTGTTGACTCATATCGTGTAATTACCTCTGTTGTAGATACATATATCTACATGTAAAATGAGAAAAAAAAAACAATTTTGAAGAAATTGTATAAGTATATTGTGAAACTCTTTTTGTAAGTTCTTAATTACCTAATTGTTACTTCTTTTATATTTCTATGCTTTTATAGAACTTAACGCAACACATTTTTTTTATTGAATTTAAGCATGTACACACACATACTGAAACATATAAAATGGTTGATGGACTTTATCATCAAAATAAGAAATTTTGTACATATCGATGGTGAAATATCAAACGCACAATTAAAATGTATCTGAAAATAAATCACACTGTTGCTTTGTGTACAGGCTACAAAATTTAATTCAAATTGATTTATTGATCGAAACAGAAATCCTTCTAGAAGAAATATAAAAAAAAAAAAAACGCTATCTCTGCGACAATTGTTAGTTATTTATAGTATAAAACGCCACGATTCAATAAAGATAGTTTTAATAGTGATAACGTGTGATAGATATTCCGTCGGTAGATGATTATAACGAAACTTTACCTCGTCGAGCGTTCTATTAATAGAATTTCTGGTATGTACATACTTTTCGTGAAGGAAACGAAATATGAAACTCTGCCTCCGTGATCTCCTATACAACGCACAGGTGCACGAATAAGTTCAAAGTACAGAGAAGAGCACGTCTCTCCGGCAATTTTATAAATAAACCGTATACGATGACGTCATCGTGAAATATCTTTCTTGCGAAGATAGAATAGGAATAGAGGTTAGGGCGGAAACGCAAACTTTTTTCATGAAGCTGGGTACAGTACCTGATGTACGCGAGCAAACGAAAACACGAAATCAACCAATCGAAATTGATCTATTCGGTCATTTGACCAATTAAAATGTCTGCATTCACTGATCTCCTTATTTTAGTCTTTACCGACGACTATCGATTCGATACGTGTCATTTGTGTTGTTGCAACAAATTGCGACGCTAGTTAAATTTATAGTGTTGGTAAAATCGTAGATTGCGCACGTAACAACATGGCTGCGTTCCGATATTCACTGCCAGCACTCAAAAATCTATATACTTCGCATCACATCAAATAGATATCCAGTACTGACGGTGAATATCGGAACGCAGCGTTCCGAGTTACGCACATGCGCGCCTTTATCTATAATATACGTGACGTGTACTATAGATAAAGCCCGTTCTACATTGATCGCAAGCGCAAACGCAAGGAACAGGTCTGGTAGAATTGACCAATCGTATTGATCAAATCATCCAATTGACCAGCGTGATTGGTCAATTCTACAAGATCTATACCTTGCGTTTGTGCGCTTGCGATCAATGTAGAACGGGCTTAACTCCGACGTTGCGCGCAATGTCGGTAACGTGCCTCGCCTTTTGGCCGGCTTGGTGAGAAAGAGACGAAACATAGTATGTCTGCACTCTTCCACGAGCCGACAGCCGAGCGAACACGGACGGCAGTAATATTTGCGGTATTTTGTTTTACAGGTTTTGTTTTACAGGCTTGACAATGATAGAACGTAAAGACGACGAAGGGAACTTATATACGTTTGTAAGAATGTAACTTATATCTTATATGAAAGATAGCTTGTATATTTGTATTGTTAGGTTAGGTTAGGTTTATCTTATTGACATATGTATTTACAATTTGTATTCATGTAGAATGAGGAGGATTTGCCATACGAAGAAGAAATACTACGAAATCCGTATTCAGTAAAACATTGGCAACGTTACATTGATCATCTGAAAAACACAAAAAGTAAAAATTTGAACATGGTATATGAACGGGCATTGAAAGAGCTACCAGGCAGGTAAAGACATTAGCACTGTGTGTATATATATATACATATATATATCATTATATCTATTTAAATGTTTTACATCAAACTGAGAATCTTATATGTATTATTTTGTGTGATTGATGCAGTTATAAGTTATGGTATAATTACCTTCGACAACGAGTGGACCAGTTGAAAGGTCGATGTATAACGGATCCGTTATACGAAGATGTCAACAATGCCTACGAACGGGCTTTGGTATTTATGCATAAAATGCCACGATTATGGATGGATTACTGTACACTAATGACAGAACAATGTTATATAACTCGAACGCGTCAAGTGTTTGATCGCTCTCTTAGAGCACTACCTATTACACAACATCATCGCATATGGCCATTGTATATTGAATTTTTGAAAAAACACAATGTCTATGAAACTGCTGTCAGAGTATTTAGAAGATATCTAAAGGTAAATCTTCATTCAAAGATTAGGACAATTATTTTCTTTAATAAAATAATTTTTTCTTTTATGTGTAAATGTTTGTTTTGTTATATGTATTTGTTTGAGATTAAATTTTAAGTTTTATATTTATAGTTGGCACCGGAAGATACAGAAGAATATATAGAATATTTGATATCAATTGGAAGACTTGATGAGGCTGCTGTGAAATTAGCACAAATTGTCAATCAAGATGATTTTGTGTCTAAACATGGAAAGTCGAATCATCAATTATGGAATGAATTGTGCGATTTAATATCGAAAAATCCTTCCAAAATAAAATCCTTAAATGTAGATGCTATTATCAGAGGTGGTTTAAAACGTTACACCGATCAGTTGGGACCTTTATGGAATTCCCTGGCTGATTATTATGTTCGAAGTGGTCTTTTTGAAAGGGTATTGTTTTGTATTTATAATAAATTTACACTTGTATATACTTTTTTTTTAATTAGAATGTATATGTATATATAATTTTACTTGATAGGCAAGAGATATATATGAGGAAGCTATACAAACTGTTACTACTGTCAGAGATTTCACACAAGTTTTTGATGCTTATGCGCAATTTGAAGAGCTTAGTCTTAAAAAGCTCATAGAAGAATCAGCAACTAATCCTACTGAAGAAGGTATTGTTGATATACGTTGCTTTAATTTGACATTTTGTTATTAATTTAACTATTAATTTAATTGTATTATTTATTAGACGATATAAAATTGGAATTGAGACTAGCGCGATTGGAACACCTAATGGAAAGGAGACTATTGTTACTGAACTCTGTATTATTGCGACAAAATCCGCACAATGTAGCAGAATGGCATAAAAGAGTGAAACTTTATGAAGGACAACCACATGAGGTGATAAGATATATATTTTCGCAGCTTCACAGATGTTACATTGCATATCTGCTTTTGTTATTAATTAATGTATTTTTTTTACAGATAATTAATACATACACAGAAGCAGTGCAAACTGTGCAGCCACAATTGGCAGTTGGTAAATTGCACACACTGTGGGTCGCATTTGGCAAGTTTTATGAAGAAAATGGGCAGATAGAAGATGCTAGAGTGGTGTTTGAAAAAGCAACTCATGTACCGTACACCAAAGTAGATGATCTCGCTTCAGTGTGGTGCGAGTGGGCAGAAATGGAGATTAGACATGGGTAAGGTTTTGGTTTGTCTTTTTCAATGTCTGTACACATTTCGTGCAATCACAGATAATTAAATATTATATTATGACTTAATATAGAAATTGCAAGGAAGCTCTAAAACTAATGCATCGTGCCACTACAATGCCAGCTAGAAAAGTAGCGTATTATGATGAAACGGAAACAGTCCAAATGAGATTGTATAAGTCTCTAAAAGTATGGTCTATGTATGCGGACTTGGAAGAAAGCTTTGGAACATTTAAAGTATGTGACTATTATTTTTAATTTAATGCATATAACTTACGTATAAATGTTTTTAATTTCTGATGTTTTATTGCAACAGACTTGTAAAGCTGTATACGACAAAATAATTGACTTGAAAATTGCCACTCCTCAAATTATTATAAATTATGGCTTATTCCTGGAAGAAAACAACTATTTCGAAGAAGCATTCAGGGTATGTTAAATAATTTTCATTGATTACTTGTGCGCGCGCATATATGTGATATTATTTATATACAAAAAAGCATTTTTTTTCAATAGTTATTTATTTTAATGTTTAGGCATATGAAAAAGGCATTGCATTATTTAAATGGCCAAACGTTTATGACATTTGGAACACATATCTTACCAAATTTTTAAAACGTTACGGCGGCACGAAACTAGAACGTACCAGAGATCTCTTCGAACAATGTTTGGAACATTGCCCACCAAAATATGCCAAAGGTATGATTTCATATGTTAGATTAATGTTGTATAATAAACAAGAAAAATACAAATAACTATATATATATATATTTTTTTTTTATAGCTTTATATTTGTTGTACGCAAAACTAGAAGAAGAACACGGTCTAGCAAGACATGCTATGTCTGTGTACGAACGAGCGACAAATGCTGTTCTCCCGGAAGAGAAATTTGATGTAACATCTTTACATTACTTTACTATGTGTTATATAAGCGTGTAATAGGATATATAAAACTAAATTTCTTAATTTCCAGATGTTTAACATATACATTAAAAAAGCTGCGGATATATATGGTGTGCCAAAAACTCGACAGATTTATGAAAAGGCCATAGAAGTGCTTAATGATGAAAACACCAGAGAAATGTGTTTGCGGTTTGCAGAAATGGAGACCAAATTAGGAGAGGTAGACAGAGCGAGAGCGATATATACACACTGCAGTCAGATATGCGATCCAAGAGTATGTTTTATAATTTTATGTACTTTAAAACATTTTTGTCATATAATTCACTCTTAAATCACATTCAATTGAAATAATGCAGGTTACATCGACTTTCTGGCAAATTTGGAAAGAATTCGAAATTAGGCATGGCAATGAGGACACAATGCGCGAGATGCTTCGCATAAAACGTAGCGTGCAGGCTATGTATAACACTCAAGTGAATATGATGTCTGCACAAATGTTGAATAATGCAACTAATCAAGTATCAGATGTTCCCATGGACGCTATGCGTTTATTGGATAGTAAAATTATATCGAATACAGGTAATGAGAGAAGTAGATATCACTGTTTATGTTTTTTCTTTTTGTAACAAATAATTTAACAAATCTCAAATTGTACAGACACTCCAACCGAACCTAAGAGAGGTATTACAAGAGATCCTAACAATCTCACTGGTATTAAATTCGTACGTGGAGGAGTAGAAAAAGATGGCAAACCAGAATCTGTAAATAATCCAGACGAAATTAACATTAATATAGATGACGATACTGAAAATGACGATACTGAAGCTGAAATTGAAGAAGGTATGATAATGTATATTTTACACAGCAAATGAAAACAAACTTAGGCAAACTAAACGAACTTAAATTTTCATATTATAATAACTTATTGAAATATTAGATTTATTTTTTAACAAATATGTTATTTATTTTTAGATATAGATATCGAAAAACAAGCTATACCACTTCAAGTATTTGGCAGTTTAAAAACAATCGAAGCTGAAGATGATGATTAATACTTTTAATTTATATGTGACATACATTAAAAATTTATCAATTAAACAGTATATTTTTACTTATCAACATTAAATAATATAGCAAGGTAGATATAAAATAAAGATTGTTACGTACAATAGCAATTGTCAGCAATAATTTTTCGCTTTGCGCGCGTAATAATTGCGATCGTAATTTTTCTTATTAAACGAAAACTTTTGGGGTTTTCTTTTGTGGTAAACTGGACATTTAATTGATTCTCAGAAACTGTTGTACAACTACCTGTAAAACTTACTCTCAAGTGTAGGAATGGTGTCATACCTGATTTTCTCGTCACGTTTTCAAAGACACGTGACTAGAGTAAAGTCACTTAACTTCACTCACGTGTTGTTTTTCCACTCCTCTCTGTCACGTGACTTTACTAACGACTATCAGACATCCGGTATATCGTTGTACAAACAAGTCTGTATACCGACACACTCGCACATAACACGGAAGAGAACCTTTTTTACATTTGTATATAATCAGAGAGAAGCCTGAGAACGGCCAGGTCCATAAGAGAATGTGTACTCACTTTTCCGCCCCGTAAACTAGCGCATATCCACGAGTGGTACACATTGGAACTACGCAGCCAGTCCATGTCGGTGCGCTATGTCCACAGCGTGCGGTTCTATTCTGTGCTATGTGCACGAGTTTAAATGGTCACTTTCTTTAAATGTGTGTGTGTATATATTAGAGAGCGTGAGTTTGATTTTTTTGAAATTTAAAATGACCGATCTCGCGATGAGAAGATGAGAAAGGAAAACAGAAAAGGATAAGAAAAACCATTGCAACTTTTCGTACAACATAAATGTGATATACTAGAAGAGATGTGATAGTCAAGAAAAGAATCTTATTTTAGCGAGCAGCATCAGAATTCGTAGAGTGTACTCAGGTACCATCTCCTTTATCATCATTTGCTGCTATTTGCTTTTATTTTTTTACAAACGCTACATATATACATATAGTTACATTACAAAGTAAAAAAAATAAAATAAGTACATTATTTAAAATTGGTTCGACGGCACACAAATATATGTGTGTCTGAAAAGTTGCATTTTCAAAAAATATATCTTTTACCGGTTTATTACAATTTATCAGAGTGTGTTACAATTTTTGAGTTTTACAATTTTACAAGTATTTTACATATATCTCGATACAATAAAGTAAATACATAATAAATACGAACCACACATGGCAATATTTCTAGCAAAATTACACTTATTGTATGCTATACTTCATCGCACACATTAAATTCTCGATATAAATTTCATTTACTTATGCTTTACAATTCGAATTCTTATTATTGAAGTCTTATATATAGTTTTTACATACAATAAATGTAACCTTATCTTACATAAACGAAACTTAATCTTACATTTACATGCATATGCAGTGATTCATATTAATCAGTGCATTTGCAATTTTCCTAATTTTTAAACCTGCTATATCCTACCCTAAACATCTATCTTAAACATTACTAGCCTTGTTAATCAGGATTAAGGCTGCATGGCACAT